AACCCAAACCATTCTATGCTTCTGTGATTCTTTGAAATGTGGTTATTCTGCCTTGTGAGTTTTGGTTTCTGGTAGGATCTTCCCAGTGGTGCTGTGTTTCTATATTACTGGGAAATTGGGTCATTAAATTGGATCATTTCTGAAACTTTTTGCTTCATTTTGCTATTGAGATGGATAAATGAACGTGTTAAATGCTATATTTAGTTATTCTGCCTTAACACTTAGAGAGACATAAGGGTCCAACCAGCAGAGATCACGGAGTGCTTTACCCTCATTTTGTGACTGGGAGAGGAGATTGTAGTGGAAAAAAAATGCTGACCTTTGTCACTAAGCTAAATGTCTTGTGTTAGTGCACTCTGACATTCTGGGTTTACATCTCATATTATAAATTTTAAATGAATTAATAAATAGATATGAGTAGTGCCATTCATGGTGCATTGGTAAAGCCAGCTTGCTAATAGTATTGGTATTTTCCTAGTTTGAGAGTGTTTTTCCCAGTATTTCTGTGGAGTATTGTGCTTTGCAGCAATTTGTTTAGCTTATAGCCAGAGCATCATCATAATATACTATTGATTGTAAAACCACTTTTAAAAAGTTGTTCTGGTTAGACTGAAGCATTAGTTTTACACCAGCCATACATCTTAGCAGTTGTTTGAAGCTAATTATAACCTTACCAGTCAAAACAACACACCACTGAAAGCTGCCTTCTGAGTAATACATCTGTGACACTTTTATTTCCTACTTTACAGTCCCTGCTACTCGAAACATAACTCTTTAGGGTGGGAGGGAGGAGTTGTTTGGGGATTTTTGCCTCTTGCAATATCATGGTTAGCTGATATAAAGCAATATCACAGAATGGTGGGGGTTGGAAGGGACCTCAGGAGATCATCTAGTCCAACCCCTCTGCCAAAGCAGGTACATCTAGACCAGGTTGCACAGGAAAGTGTCCAGGTGGGTTTGAACATCTCCAGAGAAGGAGACTCCACACCCTCTCTGGGCAGCCTGTCCCAGGGCTCTGGCACCCTCACAGTAGAGAAGTTTCTCTTCATGTTTAAGCAGAACCTCCTGTATTCCAGCTTTTGCCTGTTGCCCCTTGTTCTATTTCTGGCCACCACTGAGAAAAGTCTGGCCCCATCCTCTCAACACCCGCCCTTTAGATATTTATAAACATTGATAAAGTCCCCTATTATTAGCTATTAAGGTCCCCAGTATTAGCTGCTGTGGTATCCTTGCAAGTATTCTTGATTCTTTCAATTTATAAACCTATCAGTAAATTAAATTATAATAGAGGGTATTAGAGGTTTGCAAACAAAGATTTCAATAGAAAGAGTCTTCTGAATGTGCTCTGTCTTACTGCTGAACGTTGCTGCTGAAGCAGAAGTGGGTTAGCTCAGTAACTCAATAATATTTGCTGCCAGGAATTTTTCATCTTTATTTGAGTTTTGACATTATACTATTGTAATTTTATCTTGTTGTTTTAATGGTGGTATTAATATTGAGTTACTGAGCTTAGGTTCTGAATCTGACATAGTTAATTGTAAAGCATTTTTAATAGTTCCATTAAAATCTCTCTGTAATTAGAGGAATGCTGAAAAATTAATTGTCAGTTTTCATAATTGCTGAAATCTCTACTGCTTGAAATTAGGAAGAAATTTAAATTTTTGTCGTTGTGACTGAGAGCTAACACCTAGCTTTTTAGATCATAGAATGGTTTGGGTTGGAAGGGACCTTAAAGATCATCCAGTCCCAACCCCCCTGCCATCAGCAGGGACACCTTCCACTAGACCACGTTGCTCAAAGCCTCATCCAGCCTGGCCTTAAGCACTTCCAGGGAGGAGCAGCCACAACTTCTCTGTGCAACCTGTTCTAGTGTCTGACCACCCTCACAGTGAAGAACTTCTTCCTCGTATCTAATCTAAACCTCCCCTCTTCCAGCTTAAAGCCATTTCCCCTTGTTTTGTCATTAACTGCCCTTATGAAAAGTCCCTCCCCAGCTTTCTTGTAGCCCCTTCAGGTACTGGGAGGCCGCTGTAAGATCTCCCCGGAGCCTTCTCTTTTCCAAGCTGAACAGCCCCAACTCTCTCAGCCTGTCCTCATAGGAGAGGTGCTCCAGTCCTCGGATCATCCAAGATAATAGCTGGTATCTCAGAGGAGCTCTGCTGATGTCGAGAAGCAGATTTGCACGTGCTGTAGTTACTTCAGGAAGAGCAGTGCTGGTCAGAGGGCGAATGCCTGGGAGTAGCAGAGTTTCAGGTGCTGCTTTCAAGTTGCAGCAACAAGTCTGCCAACAGCTCCAACTGTCCCGTTCCCACCTTTATATGAATATTTTTCTGCTACTGCAGATTTAGTAATGCAGCACTTTGCTTTAGGAATAAACACCGTGTGTCACTGGAGCCACAGTAACAATCTGTGTGCATGTGTTTAATTTGTGGTAAGAGAAGGTAATGTGATATAGTTTATCAAGCTTTTGTTTTCAGCTAAGCTGAGCAGAATTGCTGTATGTAAGCCTTGATACTGTCTGTACATATTTCTAACTTGTGGCTAAACTGTTATTCAGTAATTTATTAAGCATGGTAAGCTGATTGTATGGCTGAGCTGGAAGGATTACAATATTTTTTTTCCTCAATTAAAAGCTTTTTAATTTAAAATTTAAGACTAGAAAACCTTGGATAAATTTGTGGAAGAAACAGTGTTTAACATCAAAAATTGATTTGTTGTCCAAGCCTGGATCAAAATAAAATTAAATAAATTTAGATCCAGTTCTAATGCAAGTCTGATCAACATTTCTAAATCTTTCTCTTTCTCTTTGTTGTTTTTTGTTTGGTTGGTTTTGTTTGTTTGGTGTTTTGGTTTTTTTTTTTAATTATTTAGCTGGCCAGCAGGGATTATCTGTTGCTTTTGATTTAGCCACCCACCGTGGTTATGATTCAGACAATCCAAGAGTTCGAGGGGATGTTGGAATGGCTGGAGTTGCCATTGATACAGTGGAAGACACCAAAATCCTTTTTGATGGAATTCCTTTAGAGAAAATGTCAGTTTCTATGACAATGAACGGGGCAGTCATTCCCGTGTTGGCAACTTTCATTGTCACTGGAGAAGAACAGGGTGTGCCTCAGGCCAAGCTGACTGGGACAATCCAAAATGACATCTTGAAGGAGTTCATGGTCCGAAATACCTACATTTTCCCACCAGAACCATCCATGAGGATTATTGCTGACATCTTCCAGTACACCTCAAAGGTATTAATTGTGTAAACGTATTTATTTCTATTATTACATCTAGTTTATGAGTCTAAATCTAGTCTATCTAGTTAAATCTAGTCTAAATCTAGTTTATTACAACTATTTATGAGACACTTTGGAGAGCAAAGCAGAAGACAGGAGGACCTGTTACAGTGAAGAATCATGTGGTTGTGGAAAGGGCCAGGAGGAGAAGTTGAGAGCCCAGATCACATACAGTATAAATGTGAAGATTTTTAAGTCAGTCCAAATCAAAGTTAGATTAAGATGAGCCCAAGCCTGAAAGGTTGTCAGGAACAAGGGGAGATGGCTTTAAACTGGAAGAGGGTAATTTTAGATGAGATATTAGGAAGAAATTCTTTCCTGTGAGGGTGGTCAGACACTGGCCCAGGTTGCCCGGAGAAGCTGTGGCTGCTACTCCCTGGAAGTGTTCAAGGCCAGGTTGGATGAGGCTTTGAGCAACCTGGTCTAGTGGAAGGTGTCCCTGCTGATGGCAGGGGGGTTGTAACTGGATGATCTTTAAGGTCCTTTCCAACCCAAACCAGTCTGTGATTCTATGATTCTGTGATAAGTTTGGAGACAAGGAACAGACAGGCTGTTCTTTGCATAGAAAGTAAGAAGCCACATTGTTTAGAAGCACTAAACAGCTGTGAGCAGGAGTGAAGAGGTAAGATATCTTGAAGGACTTCTGCTGCAAAATTAAGCATGAGAAGGAGGTGATGAAAGGAGTGAAGTCCTGAACTGTTAACCATAAGTTCAGTACTACCAGTTGTTTTCTTAGTTACGTTTTCGTTGGAGAAGTGGCACACAGCCTGTAATTCAGAAAGATACTTACCACTTGGGGTGATAGTTTAAGCACAATGAATAATGCAAAAAGGTAAAAGCACATGGAGTAAACATCTCCAACACCACCTCATCGAGACAGGTTGTATTTGCAGTCTGCAAAAAATAGATTATTTGTGAATGTTGATAGAACAATTATCTGCTACCCCTTCTGCTGTCATACCCTGTTGTCTTTTATTTTTTGCAGTATATGCCAAAATTTAATTCCATTTCAATCAGTGGATACCACATGCAAGAGGCAGGAGCTGATGCCATTCTGGAATTAGCTTATACTATAGCAGATGGCTTGGAGTACTGCAGAACTGGAATTAAAGCTGGCCTTACTATTGATGAATTTGCACCAAGGTGAGCTAAAGAAATTTGCAAGTATAAAACTCACTTTTGGTAAACTCTAGAGTTTGATATTAAGTTCAGTATTTTTACACAAAAAAAGCAATGTTGGCAGTGCTCACATCTCAGGTAGGTTTTGTTTTGGTTTTGTTACACAGTTTCAGTGGTAGAAAACAGACACTTAGCCAACATCTGCACTAATAAACTGAATAAAGCTCATGCACAAGCCCAAGCATTGTCAAGGTCTGTTGTGGTGGTTGGTCTCCAGGTCAGAAAGAGGGTCCCTAAGCTGTTGTATCTAATACAGTTGTAGCTTTAGGATTGCAGAATGCAGCAAGAGCTCTTGCAGTTCTTTTATGCTGTAGTGTTATTGGTTTATTTTTCATTAGTATTATTTTGAAATATTTGGGAAAAGCGCTTAACAAGGGGAAGTTCAGGGAGTTCAATTTACATTTACAAATTTCCTAAAAATAAACTGTAATTTTAAGCAGAATATTGTATGGGTGTGCTGGTGGGCAGCAGGCTGGCCATGAGCCAGCAGTGTGTCCTTGTGGCCAGGAACGTCAACAGTGTCCTGGGGGGCATTAAAAAGAGCGTGGCCAGCAGGTCGAGGGAGGTTCTCCTCCCCCTCTACTCTGCCCTGGTGAGGCCACATCTGGAGTGTTGTGTCCAGTTCTGGGCTCCCCAGTTCAAGAGAGACAGGGATCTTCTGGAGAGAGTCCAGCGGAGGCCACAAAGATGTTTAGGAGCCTGGAGCATCTGCCTTATGAGGAGAGGCTGAGGGAGCTGGGACTGTTCAGCCTGGAGAAGAGCAGCCTGAGAGGGGATCTGATCAATGTCTATAAATATCTGAAATGTGGGTGACAAATGGATGAGGCCGGGCTCTTCTCGGTGGTGCCCAGTGACAGGACAAGGGGCAATGGGCACAAACTGGAACACCGAAAGTTCCAGACAAACTTAAGGAAAATCTTCTTTACTGTGAGGGTGCCGGAGCCCTGGGACAGGCTGCCCAGAGAGGGTGTGGAGTCTCCATCTCTGGAGATGTTCAAAACCCACCTGGATGCAGTCTTGTGCAACCTGCTGTAGGGAACCTGCTTTGGTAGGGGAGTTGGACTGGATGATTTCCTGAGGTCCCTTCCAACCCCACCATTCTGTGATTCTGTGGTTATTGTATAGTTACTGCCAAACTAAGCAGAATCACAATTTCAGTGATCTAGTTGATTTACAGATTCCCTAACTATACAGTGAGTCTAAAAAAACAAAAGTCGTGGTTCCTGTAGCCTGTTGCACATTCAACCTATAGAAGTCTGCTGAATTAAGCTGTTTCTAGGATCTCTGGCAAAATCAAAGTGGATCATGTAGAAAAAGACACAGCCTTATTTTCAGACTTTCTAGTGATGGAGAATCTGTGAAGAGCCTTTGGCAAATTGTTTCAGTAGGTGATTCACTGTTTAAAAAGTGCATCTGTAGTATGGTGAGTTTTACTGGCTTTAGCTTTGCATGTTTTCATTTATAAATCATAGAAGCTCTAAGTAGGAAAAAGAAGATCAGTCAGTCTGTTCCCTGATATGCTGTCCAGTATTGAACTGGTGTTTGATTTGGGTTTTGATTATAATAATGAGGATAAGAATGAAAGCATGCTTATAATATGTAACATCTTCTCATTATAAGTAGTTTGTGAGTGTAACTACACTAGTAGATTGTGGCCAGGAGCATTCTCTGGCACTGGAGTGTCACTGTCTGTATTAGTGACTTGCTGGAACACTGCTGGACCTCAAAGCAGTCCCTGGGGACAGTTTAGCAGTTCCATGGACCATTGTTGCTGGCAGTTTGCCTGCAGTCACCTTGATTGGACGCTAAGTCAGTTTATTGGCATGAATGTGTATCATTCTGTAGCAACTGGCATCAGTGCCCAGGAACATTCCCATCATCTTATGGCTGGGTTATGTCTGTAAAAGTAAATTAATCAGAGACCTTGCTGTAGGACTTCTTTATTGGAACAGAGTTATTAGAATAGTTTAATGTTTTATCCTGTTCATGTGCTCTTATTACAGGCTCTCCTTCTTCTGGGGAATTGGCATGAACTTCTATATGGAAATAGCTAAGCTGAGAGCTGGGAGGCGGCTGTGGGCTCACTTGGTGGAGAAAATGTTTAAGCCCAAAGATCCTAAATCTCTTCTGCTGAGAGCTCATTGTCAGACTTCGGGATGGTCACTCACTGAGCAGGTTAGAAATTGGATTATCATAAACTTCCTCATTTAAATATGTTCTCACCATATGTATCTTAAAGGAGGCTGCTGGTTTGACTCATAAAGATGCAGCTTTGTGAAGGAAACAACCTGTCTTACTCTCTTACTCTCTAATATCTAATCTAAACCTCCCCTCTTTCAGTTTAAACCCATTTCCCTTTGTTTTGTCATTAAATGCCCTTATGAAAAGTCCTTCCCCAGCTTTCTTGTAGGCCCCCTTCAGGTACTGGGAGGCCACTATAAGATCTCCCCAGAGCCTTCTCTTTTTCAGGCTGAACAGCCCCAACTCTTTCAGCCTGTCCTCATAGAAGAGGTGCTCCAGCCCTCTTATCATCACTTAATATAAGTTAGGCTTTGCTTTGACAGCTTTAAACTAGAAGAGGGGAGGTTTAGATGAGATATGAGGAAGAAATTCTTCACTGTGAGGGTGGTCAGACACTGGAACAGGTTGCCTAGAGAAGTTGTGGATGCCTCCCCTCTGGAAGTGTTGAAGGCCAGGCTGGATGAGGCTTTGAGCAACCTGGTCTAGTGGAAGGGGTCCCTGCTGATGACCGGGGGGTTTGGAATTAGATGATCTTTAAGGTCCCTTCCAACCCAAACCTGGTTCTATGTGACTAATCTGCCTCAGCCCTGTTGCAGAGCTGTTGAACTTCAGGGCTCTCCTTTTCCTTCCAGGATCCCTTTAACAATGTTATCCGTACTACGATTGAAGCGATGGCTGCGGTGTTTGGAGGGACACAGTCTTTACATACAAATTCATTTGATGAAGCCTTGGGTTTGCCCACAGTGAAGAGCGCTCGCATTGCTCGCAACACGCAGATCATCATTCAGGAGGAGTCAGGTATTCCTAAAGTGGCGGATCCCTGGGGGGGATCTTACCTCATGGAGTGCCTCACCAACGACGTCTATGAAGCTGCTTTAAAGGTCAGTTTGCAAAACCTTTTATGTTTGGTGGGGAAATTTTCGCTACAGGAGTTTTGAGAAATGTCTTTTAAGGAACTGACTGATACGTTGGTAGCTTCTAAAGAGGGAATTAGGGCGACTAAGATGATTAAAGGACTGGAGCATCTTTCATATGAGGAGAGGCTGAGGGAGCTGGGCCTGTTCAGTCTGGAGAAAAGACAACTCAGAGGGGATCTGATTAATGTTTATAAACACCTAAAGGGAGAGTGTCTAGAGGATGGGGCCAGACTCTTCTCATTGGCACCCAACAATAGGACGAGAGGTAACAGGCATAAACTGCAGCATAGAAAGTTCCACCTGAGCATAAGGAAGAACTTCTTTCCTGTGAGGGTGACTAAGCACTGGGACAGGCTGCCCAGAGAGGTTGTGAAATCTCCCTCCCTGGAGATATTCAAAAAACATCTAGACAAAATCCTCGTTCATGTGCTCTAGGAGTCCCTGCTTGAGCAGAGTGGTTGGACTAGATGACCTTCAGAGGTCCCTTCCAACTTCAGCCATTCTGTGGTTCTGTGAATTATATTATGCTTATTCTTCAGTGATTTCTGTGTAAATGAACTTTACAAAAATACAGTGTATATTTAGAGAAAGAGACTTCAACCTTTTAGTAGACTACATTCAACAGGGAAGTATCCCAGTGTGAAACAAATAAACAAGCCCTGCAAAGTCCCTTGCACACTGAAGACTCCCAGTTTGCTGAGATCTCTGTTTTATGTGTAAGGAAAAAAAAAAGGGGGGTTCAACAGAAGAAAGAATCAAACCAACCTACTTAGTTACATGCCTATTCATGCTCGTGGTGATTTTAAAGCTAGGGGATATTGAAAGGAAAGTTTGATAGCCAAGCATGTAGGCAGACAGTTTTCTGACCACACTTGAGTATTATGCAGAATTTATGAGAAATTTTTCTTTTGGATCAGAATATTTTTTTTTAATAATGTTTCAAGCTGCCAGTCATTGTTTGCATGTGAAAAGTACTGTGCAGAAGTAGTCTTACTGGTGGCAATCCTGCATGAAGATATACACCTGCATGTCTAGCCTACAGCTAAATCCAGTGATTCTCCTTCTGAGCAAATTATTACTCTTATGCAAAGTCCCAAATTAATAAGCTAACACAGGCTCAAACACTAACCTGTGACTGTACAGACACTGTTACCACATTGTCTGGCGTGGTTTTTAGGTCCTTGTCAACTAGGATGTTTCTAGACAGTGGCAGACATGGTCTGATGGCCATTTTCAGTAGGCAGTTTGATGTGGTCACCATGTTTTGGAGCTGAATAAGCTTCTGCTGTGTGAGAGCTGAACCATGCCATACCACTTATCTTCAGGATCAGAGAACTGATCCTGGATTTTTTCAATTTATTTGTATTTGTATATGTATAACCATAAGGGCTGGTTGGCTGGTGGAAGTCAGTTGAGAGTCAAGATCTCAAATTTTAAACCTTTTCATCCATAAGTGTTACTGGTTGAACAACATGTCATACACTGTTATTGAATTCATGGAGTTTTGGTAATAAAAATGCTCTTTTATTTGAGATGTTTCTTAGTTTCTACCCAAAACCTGTAGCCGGAGACACGCTTTTAGGGCACAGGACTGTATATATAGGCATAATAAAAATTTGGATGGCAGTACAAGTGCAAAGCTCGTTTTGCAAACCTGGCTACTACTCACTTCTGAATCCTTTTCATTTCTCAGCTTATTGAGGAGATTGAAGAAATGGGTGGAATGGCCAAAGCTGTTGCTGAGGGAATTCCCAAACTTCGCATTGAAGAGTGTGCAGCTCGAAGACAAGCCCGGATTGACTCTGGTAGGGAGCAGGGAGATGGAAGAAGGGAAAACTGCCCATAGAAAACCTTTGTGTGAAGCTTTTTTTTTTTTACACACATTCTCTTGGATTTTTTTTTTCTTCTTACTTTAGGATTAGCAGATTGTGAGAGATAAAATGTTGATAGTTTTATGTCAGTGAAAGCTTCTGGAAAGAGATAGCAGTGTGTATGTAATAAAGTACCAGTATGAAAACCATCTTACTTGACATATTTAAGACTAAATTAGACAAAGCACTATAAAAACTATTTTAAAGGAGTATTTTGGGGCTTCAGTAGTTAACCACTTATTTCTGATAGTTACCTTTCAACTGTGATTCCTGAATTTAAAAGCATGACTACCAGGAGGTGGCGATATTGAATGTGTCTGGCCAAATTCCTGCTTTTGCTTGAATGAATACTGAATGAAAGCTAAAACAGGGATTTCCAACATGATAAATTAATTTTTATTTATGTGGAGTAGTTTAAGGTAGGAAGTTCACTTTCTTATTTATCTGGTAAATCAGAAAAGTAAATGCAGAGCAATGCAGGAGAACAGCACTTCTGCTTAATTCTGTAACATTGAGTGATGTAAACTTAAAAAGAGAAAAATAGCTAATGTATGTTAGTGACTCATTACCAGATCAGTTTGTAAGATAAATATTGTTCTATTTCAAATCTCTTTTTTGGCCTAGTATTCAGTGAGATGAATGTTCATGCATCTTATCGTCACTCATCATAAAATAGGGAAAATACAGACTTAAATCCTTCCTATAAGAACAGATTTTAAGTATTTGAAATGTATATAGTTATAAAACAAAGTAATGCTGAAAATTTTCTTGTCCTATTAATATTGTGTCTTTTCACAGTAGTTTGCAAATGTATTCTGAGTTTCTGGTATTTCCACTGGAAATAGGGTCTGAAGTAATTGTTGGAGTAAACAAGCATCAGCTAGAAAAGGAGGAGACAGTCGAAGTTCTGGCTATTGATAATACTTCAGTCCGCAGCAAGCAGATCGAGAAGATTAATAAGGTGGGAACTACTTTCTTTAAAAATGAAAGTTCTTGTGATTGCAGATGGAACTTGAGTAAAGGTGGCTTGCCAGAAACTTGGCCCTCAGATTTCTGAGAATCCACTCTAGTCTTCAGCAGAGAAGCTAGATTTCTGTTCAACTTCAGTGGAGGCTGATGGAAAATCCCAAGAAACACAGTATTAGAATCCCATCAAAAAAGTTTTTGTTATGTACATTTGGTGTTAATCAGATTTTCTGATAGTCTCATGAATATATGTCTAACCTTTCAAAATTGAGAACTTTAAATTTTCTGAAAATAAGGTAGAAAATAGCTACAAAATGTTTTGCTCTAAAAGCAGGTAACTTCATTTAATCACTCAAACTATTTGGTACAGCTTGTCAAGTGCTATTAAGGGACAGGGTTATGGAACCAGAAATTAACATCCACTTTCATAATTAGTAAAAATGTAGATAAAATTGGTTTAGAGTTATTTTACGGACTTATGCACATGTTTTCAGGTCTGAGACACCTTTTCACTTCTAATCTTGTTGAAATATCTACCATATATTGACAATTCCATGCCTCCAGAATTAATAATTGAAATCAGAAAGATATACACTT